AGGGTCTGGGGGAGGAGGTCAGGAAAGTGCAGAGATGCTTTGGGGACAGGAGGAAGCTCGGCCTGCCAACGTCACTGCCCCTCACGCCCACCCACCCACATCCCTGACCTAATTCCTCTTCTCAGTGGCACCTCCCCACGCCCTCCCTCTTCCCCCTAACCATTCCCCGCCACCTAGCCCCAAGTAGGAGGGTGCGGGAGCTTCCCTCTGGCGATGCCAGCTCCAGCCTTGGCAACAGCCCTCGCCCTCCCATCCAGCTTCTGCCCCTATGCACTAAGGGGTCCCCAGTCCCTGGCATGGGGTGGGGGCCGGGTCGAGAGTGTGAGGTTCAGCTCCCTAGCCCCTCAAGGGTGGCTAGGCAGTACCAGGGGGCTCCCCAGCAACCTGGGCCAGGGGTGTGGAACTAGGGCTGGTCACGCTGTCACAGGTGGGGTGGTGTGCGCTGTGCACGCAGAGGCCAGAGGAGGCGAGCAGGGACCAGGACCCCAGGAGGCTGTTGGCCACAGGGTCAGTGATGGGGGCTGAAGTGGCAGGAAGGTGGAGGAGCCACCAGGAAGGACAGAGATGTGGGGGAGGGATGCAGGGGCAAGAATGAGCAGGAATTGGGGGATGGGGTGCCCCTTGGAGGCAGACAGGGTGGATGGGGAGGCTGAAGGAGCCCAGGGCTCAAAGTGACTGGGGCCCAAGGGCAGGTGTGTGCATCTGTGAGGCCAACTTTCATCCTGCCAGGGGCATGGCTGTGCCAGGGCTGACCTGCCTCTGTGGGCCAGACCAGGGGAAAAGGGGCCCAGAGGACGCCAGTGTGAACAGATGTTGGTATCAGGGGGCTTCTAGGGGCAAGGGAAGTCCCGCCACAGCCAAGCCTCTGGAGCACACGGATGCTTGGCCAGAAACGCCCTGGAACTCAGCCCGCTCCTTGCCCCTTTCCATCCGTTCCAGGATGTCTGGAACGGTACCACCATAGTCCACAGTCCGTCAAGCCACAACCAGAGACCCCGGTGTTTTCTAGACTCTGTGGAGGGCCCCAGGAGGGGCACGGGCCATCCTGGCTCTGCCCACAGTCACCTCGCGCATCTGTTCTTTATCAGCAAACCCTCCTCGAGGCCTCTTAGGACTCAGGTCCCATGCTAGGCACCGTGGGGTGACAGCCATGCAGTAGGACACAGGGAGGAAGTCGGGGGAGCTTCTCGGAGACAATGCTTGAGCTCAGGGACTGAGCAGGACGTCACTGCTGAGCCACACGCTTACAAAAATATTCCACTTCGGCTACACCACCATTTGTTCCGGGCTGGGGTACAACAGTGAGTAAGATACAAATGTGCCTTCGTGAAATCTCAGCACAGCGGGGGAGAAGACAGGACCAGAAGCTGTGCTAGAACAGAGACGGGGGCAGCGGTTCCTACGGGCAGCGGCTGCGAGGTGGGGGCGAGGCACTTGCAGGGGTTCCTGGGGTGGGGCCCGAGTGGGGTTCTGGGCCAGCAGGATTGCAGCGGAGGGCTGGTTGGGGAGGACGAGCATGTTCGGGCCACCACACAGGGCACAGGGCACAGGGCACCTCCTCAGCACCACCCAGGAATGAGGGCACGAGGAGCCCCAGCTGTGCAGCTCCTCGGCTGTGCTCAGGCCTCGCCCCAACACTCCCTCCTCTGGGACCCGTTTCTTCTTGCCGGTCCATTGCATGGTGTCCTGGTCTGTTCCTCCCTGGGGCACGTGGATCCTGCCAGCCCACCTCTAAGGCAACCCCCGGCAGGCCTCCAGTTGTGGACGAGCTGTGGCAAACCTCTGAGCCTCCGTTTTTCCACCTATGATATGGGCGTGACCTCTCCCTGGCAGGCTCGCTGGGAGAGTTTCCGGAAAGCATCCCTGTAAAATGCCCACCGGAAGGTCGGGCACAGGGTGAATGCTCCCTACAGCAACAGCTCGGTCTCCTTCTGGCCCCTCAGGCTGGGAACTTCTCATTTACTTCCGGACTGCATAGTGATTAAGTGCACAGGCTCTGGAGCCAGACAGCTTCCTGGTTCAAAGCCCAGCTCTGCCACTTATACGCTGTGTGACCTTGGGCAAACCTCTTGCCCTCTCTGTGCCTGTTTTGCTGTTTGTAAGATGGAGGTTATAGAAATAGTACGTGCCCCCGGAGGTTGTTGAGGATTAAATGAGCTACGCCAGGGCTTCCAGCAGCTCTGCTGCGTCCTGCACCTGTCAGCCGCCGCGGTGCTCGCCTCCCTGCAGCACACGGCGACGTGCCTGGTACCCGGCAGATACTGGGAGGGCTTTAGTGAGCGAATTACTGAGGACATAAGACGACATCGCGATGCCCGGGGACGCCATGATAGGGAACCTCAAGCGCCACGACGCGAGGGGCTAAGTCTCTCCAGCAGATTACGTGCCGCCTCCAATAAAACCCAGATAATCCGCACACCGAGAGCTGAGCCACTCTCAGGCCACTTGGGGTCACCACCCCGGTTCCCTTCCTCTCATCCATCACTCTCACCCACCTCTTGGCTTAATCAAAAGCGGAAGGAAGAGCAGACGTGGGGGTGGGAGAGGGGAGCCGCCCGGGGCACTGCGGTGACTAGCGTCCAGAGGCAGCAGAGGGCAGAGCGACCGGCTGCCCTGAGGTTCAGGGTAGGCTACTGGAGCCACCCAGGCAAAGAGCTCGGGGCTCTGGAGGGCAGAGGACACTGGATGGTGCAGACCAGTGACCGCGGGCAGCAGGGAGGGCCATGGAGGCCCCGCTGGAGTGCTGCAGTGCCCTGTGACCGGCAGGCTGCCAGGTCCCAGCAGGGCGAGGCTCTGGCCAGCCTCAGACTCTGAGCCCCGCCCTCCCTGACCTGGAAGTTGGGGGCAGCCCAGATCCTGGCCGTGGCTGCCCTCCCGTGGCCACTCCTGGGAGGTGCAATGCAGCCCCTGACGGCACGGGAGTGTCTGCAGAGCTCTGTGTGTGCGCAGGAGCCAGCTAGAGACCACCCTACTCCCAGGCTCCAGGAGGAAACAGGCCTCCCTAAGCCTGCTCTGCACACAGTCTGACATCTCCAGGGGACCGAATGCTGGCCCAATCCCGAGTCCTCCATGCTCCCGCCACCTTCTCTGTCCAGGCTGTCACCCCAGGGGACCGCGCTCTTGCAGAGTACCCACCAGCCTCAGCCTAGGGGTATTCACCAGGAGAAACAGGATGACTTTGTGTATGTATTTATCAAAATGTTCACAAACCTCATCTCATTCAGCACAAAACACATAACCAGGACACACACACCGGGCCTTGGGAAGGCTGTCAAGTACTTTGAAGGACAAGGAGGAATGAACACAGCTGGGTGGACTTTGGGGGTGCAAGAAGAGCTCTGGTCCCAGGCCTGGGTAAGGCAGAGAGCTGGGAAGGCAATAAATAGGATGTGGGGCCCAGCCTGCTTTGGTATGTCAGAGGCGCGTCCCTGAGCCCCTAAGCACCTGCCGACGGCAGGAACCAGGGGGGCGGAGCCCAGGCAGCTGGTGCGGGTGGCCAGGTGTGCAGGGCAGGTCGCCTTCTCAGCGCCCCGGCACCCTGCTGGGCACGAGGGAAGACGGGGCCAGCCTCAGCAGAACCTAGCTGTCCATGTCGGAGGGCATGGTCTTTTTCCTTGTCCGGACCTTCAGGGAGCGTGAGGTGCCCTGGGGAGAGACAATGAGTCCACGTGAGGGGTGTGGCTGGAAGGGCCCACACAGCCCGCTCCCCACCGTCCTCCACTGACCTCCCGGGTCAGTGGCTTCTTCCTGGTCACCCCCAGGCTCTGGCTGCGGCCCAGAGGCTTCTCTCGGGGCCGGGCTGGGGGCTGGGGCACCACCTCGGTATCCGACCAGCACTCATCCTCGGTGTCACTGTCTCGCAAGCCCCCTGCCCGGTACCCTGTAAGGGGTGGGAGGGACGGGTGGGGATTCACACGGCTGGAAAGCCTTCGGGGTGCCACCACCTGTGTCGGGGGAGCCAGCCTCGCTCGGGATGGCTCTGGGTCTTTCTGCCCACTCACCGATGGGTGGCCTCCGGTGGGGTACCTGGTCCTCCAGGTAAAGGGGGTCCTGGTAGGTGGGTGCAGGGGTGTCGGGGATGGCACGCAGGTCTTGCATGGAAAAGCTCCGCAGCCGGCCCGCCAGTGCACCCTGACTCTGGGGGAACAGTGGCAGAGTCAGCTGGGGGGGTCTGGAGACGAGGTTTGGCAGGGAAGCTGTCAGGTCAACAGGGTGGGGGTGCCTTGTGCTAACCCCTGGGCCCAGGACCCAGAACCAAAGCAGCTCAGCCACCGTCCAGCCCCATCCGTCTTTGGTACTAGCAGGAAACCATGGCCAGGAGAGCCGGGAGAAGGGGCTGCCGAAGGGGGCCGGCCAGAGGGCGGTGAGGGGCGCACCTTGGTGGCTGCCTGCACGGCTGCAGAGGCGGCGATGTTGAGGCCCCGCTTCCCGAAGCTGAGCATGGCCTCGCAGGTGTGCTCTTTGGCCTGCACGATGTAGCCGTCGATCTCCTGAGGGCCCAGGGTGGCAAGGGCGCTCAGTCACAGCCTGGTCTCTCCTCTGCAGTCCCCAAGAAGCCCCTGGCTGTCACGCCTCCCTGTCCAACCCCGCCCAGTGCCCTAGTCTCAGATATAGGCCCCGACACACATGCCAAGAGCAGGGCACCCACCCACACCCCTACCCTTATTTCAGTGAGCGGCCATACTCCAGCCCTCCACCCACCACTCCCAGCCGCTGCTTCACACCCGCCAAGGTCACGCGGGTGCACTCACATTTAGTTATCCCAGAAGGAGAGGAAGGGAGGCCCTGTCGAGGTCCTGCAACCGAATGGGCACCCAGGACCTGCGCCGTGGGAGAGGGCTCCTCCCTCACACCGAGGCCCCCATACCTTCTCATGGCGGGACAGGGACGGGTGGACGAACTTGCGGTACAGTAGGCTAGACCCCCTGGTGTAGGGTGACAGCAGCCACAGCACGAAGGCCATCTTGATCTCGTAGTAGAAAGGGAACCTGTCAGAACAAGGGGGACAGGTGAGCCCAGGTCCAGCTGCAGGGCACCAACCGCCCACGGCCGAGCCCACGCCCAGCCCACGCCCACACCAGGAGATGAAGACGTCCGTGAAGGTCTCAGCTGCCATGAAGAGGGCAAAGATGATCCAGTACATCATCCACCGGACCTGTGGGCAGGGACGGAGCTCAGCAGCCCGCAGCGGCCCCACCTGGCCCCGGCCCGCACCCTCGCCCAGCCCAGAGACTCCTGGCCGGTCCTGCGGCATTGCTACCCTCGCCTACCACCCGGCAGACAGGAGCCTGGGTCACTGTGGCCCATTCCTGCACCCAACTCACGGGCTACACCGCCAGATCCTCCACAGGCACCCCGGTGTCCACACCCACTTGAACAGCACCGAGAGACAGTGCAGTGGAGGAGGGGGAGTCCTACCGCACACCCGGCCTGCCCTCACATATTCACGGATGTTCTTGGTCTTCACCGCCTTGTAGGACGCATAGGCTGGGTACAGCATCCCGAATACCAGCCTGGAAGAGGCGTGTGGAGGGTGAGGGGCACCATGCCCCTGCCTGGCCTAGTGGCCGCCCCCTCTCCCCCAATGCTGTCCTGTCTTTCCCGCTTGGCAGGTACAACCCACACCTGACTCAGTGTCCTGGGGCCACCTCCCCACCCTGTGTTTACAAACATCTGAGCCTGCCCAGGCCTGCATGGTAACTGGTGGGTGAGTGCACTAGGCTTTCCATCCCACGGCCATAGGCCCAGGCCTGCCAGCCCTGTGGCGGGGGCCGGAAGCGCGGCGGGGGAAAGAAAGCGGGTGGAGCCGGGCGAGTACTCAGCGTCAGGAGCAGGGTGCTCCGCAGGCCAGTGACTGCTGGAGGGGGCAGGCACCTGGGCTCTCCACCTAGGCAGTGTCACCCAGTTCGCCAAGGGGCTGTGGGCTGCACGCGGCCCTGGTCCCACACACCTGTCTGCACCAAGGGCATGTGTGTGTGTGTGTGCCATCAGATAGAAGCTGGGTGGGGGGTGCGGGGCAGGTATCCGCCACCTACAGGGCTGGTCCGTTAACCCTTGCGGTGCGTCCCCTCCCCTACCTGGCGTTCCCAGCTCCTGCCCCTGAGGCGGGCTGGCTGCCGGGGGACAGAGGGGTCTGGAAACGCCCATACTCACACCACCAGGCGACAGAGCATCCAGGACACCATCCTGCCCGCCTTGGGGTCGAGGGGAAACCCCAAAAAGGCGCTCCGAGAGACGTTTCACGTGGGACAGGGATGGGGGTCAGCCGAAGTGCAGGAAGGAGAGGGTCCGCTGTTTCCTGCCCGGGCTCAGCCGCCTCCCACGGACTCCGATTGCGCAGAGCCGGGAGCCTGGGGGCGAGCAGCCCGGCAGCCTGGAGGCCGCCCCGGGAGCTGAGCCGGCTACGCCTCCGACCCGCACTTTCTGCCGGAGAACCAGGCGCTCGGCCCTCGCCGCTGCTGGCCCCGGGACGGGGTGGCGGGTTGCGGCCTCGGATCGTGCGGGTCGCGCGGTTCCAGCGCGCGGGCCACCAGCACCGGCCTCTGGGGCGGAGTTTGCAACTCACTTGAAAGTTGCACGGGGCGGTGTCCTGCCCAACCCCAGGGCTCGCGAGCGGGGCGCAGGCGCAGTGCGGCCCGGCGGGGCGGGGCGAGGTCAGGGGCGGGAGGCTGGCCCTTAAAGCGGCGATGGCGGCGTGGCTCGCGGGTGGGGCCGCCGGCTAAACCCCTTTCCTGATCCGAAAGTTCGGGGCTGTGGAGTGGGAATCCGCCACAGCGAGGAAGAGGGGCGAGGGGCGAAGAAACTCCGGGCCCCGGAGTTTTCGTGGCTTTTCTCTGGCTTCTCCCGGGAGCCTCTTCTCGCCTCATTTTCCCCTGTCTGTAAAATGGAAAAGGTATGAGATGAACAGAGATCTCTGAGGCTCCGACTCAGGCCGGAAGGAGGCCTGGCCGAGCGCCGGCAGGTCCAGGTTTCCCGGTCACGGAGATCCGGGACCCCAGGGAACCCGAGGGACTCACCACCAACTCCTCTCTCTGGGGTGCCAGGGGTTCTGGTTGAGCGACTCCCCCGGCTGTCTTCCCCGGAGACTTCCACTGTCCTCTGAAGCCAGGACTAGGTTTTTTCTTTTTCTTTTTCTTTTGCGTGTGCATATGCTGGAGAGAGACAGGGAGAGAGTGAGAAAGCACGCCCCGTGGGGCATGGTCACTCTGCAGTGGTCCTCCCGTTATCCTCTTGGGATCTGGGGCACCCGCATATGCACCCACATGTTTTTCAAGCACTCGGTCTAGGACTCAAACCCTGAAGTTGGCCATGCTGGATTCAGACATAACCCCCTCTCCCCCAGTGCTGTCCTGCTTTTCCTGCCTGGCAGGTCCCACCTGCACGTGACTCAGGGCCCTCAGCGAGGGCCACCTGCGGCCCAGGACCTGCATTTCGCAGTGTTTCTGTGTGCAGAGTCTGCATGTTAGTGAAGGGCTCTCACCATTTAGAAAACAGGCTCAGCGAGAAAGTAACTGCCCAGGGGCCCGGGGCGGCAGGTGTGGCAGGCCATGGCTAAGTGCTTGGCTTGACCAGTCTCCTGAGGGTGTGCAGAGTGGCCCTGGGAGGGGACATAGCACCGGAGAGGGTCCCCAGGAGGGAGAAGAGGGATGCAGGCGACCTCCCTGCTCCCAGACCTGCCCACTGCTGCCTACTGCCTGGTCTCTCTCTGGACATGGGGAGAACAGCGTCCTTCCTCCCACCCTGCCCCGGAGCGGGGAGAGCAGAGCTGCCCCAGGCTGCGGGGGCGGAAACACGGGGTTAGTGCTGTTTATTAGAGCCACAGCCACCACACCGCCTATGGCAGGAGGGCCTAGGTGACCACGGGAGCCAGGGAAGGAGGCTTCTCGGGAATAAACAGGCATGGAGATTATATGGCCTTAATTATTATCATCCATTTTATGGTATTGCTGGGTGTGAGAGCTAGCAGTGAAACCGGCCAGCCTCAGGAGATGCCTCCCCAGCCTGATGCCTTCCCCTGCCCTCGGAACACTGGGGCAGAGGGTCCCCGCCCCAACCAGCTCCAGGCTCAGACAACTCCAGGTGGAAAGAGCCCTGGGTCTCCTGGCAGAAGGAAGAATGTGACCGGTAACTTGGGTGACTCAGGGAAGATTAGGGGCCGTAGTCTCTGAAGAGGAGAGGAGAGGGTTGTCCATCGCTGGGAGGCAGCGGTTTGCGTGAACACGAGCCTGTGGTAGGAACTGGAGAACTGCGTGCACGCAAGCATGCTCACGCATATGTGCGCACGCACACACATACATACACACACATACACACAGGCCGCCTTCTTGAACCACGCATCTGCCCTAAGCATCACAAGCCTCTCTCTACCCCAAGCGGCTGGGAAGGGTCCCCTGTGCCACCTGCACCCCCCCCAGGGACGGTCTCCTCCATGGAGACGTCTGGTCCCAATGCCCGTGCTTGGGAACACTAGACGGCCAGGTGTGAGGTCTGCAGTGCAGAGCAGGCCCTGTGTGGAGGGTGCACACGGGCCGCTGAGCCAGGGGCCCTCCTGGGCTCTAACGGGTGAAGCCTCCACCTCCTGCGGCCTTTGCTCCTGAGCTATTGACACAGTCACTCAGTTACGCTGGGTTGCTAAGCAGCTCTCAGGACACATGGAGGGTCCCGGGAGGGCACCAGGCAGGCACACAGTGGAGAACTGGGCAGTGGGGGGTGAGGGGCGGGGGCTCCCTCCTGCGGGGAGTGGTCATCAGAGTGCTGTTTATCCTCCTTCCGGGCAGCACGGTGCCAGCCTGCCTGGGAGCCTCTGCCCACTGCACCTGGCAACCTCTGCTGCCATAGGACGTGGGCCCACTGCCCATTTCACAGAACAGACGGGCCTGCCCAGATGACGGGCATGAGGAAGGGCAGCACGTGGGTGTGCTCCGAGAAGGCGAGGAGTGGCCGGGGCGGGCTGCCTGGGCCTCCGAGGCCGTAGGTGAGACATAGGGAAGATAAGGAGCCCTTACCCCAGACAGCGGTTCTCCCAGAAGGCACACGACACCTTTCCGGGGCCACCTCTATCCCACGCTGTCATACAGGCCAATAGGAACCGGCATTACGGGCCAGGCGCACTCGAGAGGGCCCACGGACCTGGCATATAGCAATAGACAGTTAACGCGTTCCACTCCCGTCTCTAACAGCGTTTCGCAGCTGTCACGCCCACACCCATTTTATAGACGAAGAAACTGAGTGACGAATCCGCTAGCTAACGCGGCTGAGTGCCCCAGCTGGCTCCCCCAGCAGTAAACTGGCAGGATGGGGATTCCAGAGTTGGTCCTGCTTCTGCTCTGCAGAAGAGGTGAGGCTGGGGGGAATCAGCTGAGCTGTTGAAATCACACACCAGGTGCCGCGACTGAGCCCAGGCCCCGGCCATGCTGCTTAGAGGAGAGCCCGGGGGCCTGCGGCCTAGAGGAGAGCCCTGCTGCGGGCGCCTGCGGCCAAGTGCTCTGCATTATCTGCACTGTCGTCTGCCAGCCCCGGGGTGGAAGGCCACAGTTCGTCTGGAGCCCAGCTTCGTGTGCTCGCTGAAAGACAGGTGAACCAAGGGGTTTTTGTGACACGAGAAGAGCCTAAAGGGGGCCCTGGAGAACAAACAGGGACCCACAGACCCAGAGGATCACCTGGGGGCCTCCCGATGCAGCGTCTGTCGCTTCTCAGTTTCCGACCCCTTGCCCTGTCACCTACCCACTCAAGGCAGCAAAAAGCTTCTGTTTACTCATGCCCAAGGGTGGGGGGGGTGACAGAGGAGGGCTCCCCACAGTTCAGACATACCCCCATTTGCCACACGGTGCCAGCTATGCTCCCTGAGATGCCTGTAACTTACAGTGACCCTCGGCATGGCTTCCGATGGCTTCTGACCGGGTTGCATGCCCACCCCTGCCTGACCCCTACTAGCTCCTCCCTCACTCCCCCGGTCATGGACTCAGTTCTCAGATGAGGGGCCTTGCCTGCTCACAGAGCCTGGGCCCCCAAGGTGGAGCGGACCTCGGAGGACCTTCATGTCTGGCACAGGCCCATGGACTTGTGGCAGAGGGACAGGAGCCCAGGCAGCTTCCTGAGCAGGGGGTGACAGGAGGATGTCGGTTCCGGAAGGCTGGACTGGAAGGGGGTGAGCAGGGGGCTGGCAGGGAGGGACCTGGGGTACAGAGTGACAGGACAGGCTTGCACAGCGGATGTAGCAGAGACGGGGGAAGCCATTTGGAAAGTTTTGGGGGCCAAGTACGGAGAGAGTTTGGTGGCTGATTAACTGTGGGAAAGGGACCCAGATATTACCCAGGCCCCAGGTCCACGCCCTGCATGTGACCAGCCCGGGAGCTGGGGTGGGGGAGCAGGAGGGTGACGAGAGGACAGACTGAGGTGGGGTGGGTCCCAAGGCTGTCACCCCAGGAAGCGCTAAGCTGTGAGTCAGCCCCAGGTGCTGGAGCTGGTCATGCTCACTCACACCTGAGTGTCATGGTCATGAACTCCTGACCCAGCACAGCTGGGCTTGGGAGCACCCACTCCTCAAAGGAGGGGAGCCAGGAAGAAGAGGTCCATAATCGGAGCAGGGCCCTGCGGGGTGACAAAGACAGACAGCGCAGATGCACCCTGTCCCCTCATGGGACACCTTGATGACACTCGAGAGTCAGCATGGGATGGAGCTCTTTATTTGAAGCAAGTGAGTCACAGCATTGCCCCTGAGCACCCCGGGCACCCTACCATGGGAGCCCTCACGCAATCCTGACCCAGGAAAGGGAGCCCCCGCCCTGCCTGTCTCCCCAGTCCTGCACCTCCACCCAGCACACAGCAGAGGGCAGCAGAGCTAGGTTCCTGGACCCTCCCCAGGGGCGGCCACCACTCAGCGGCCTGGAAAGGAGGGGACAGGAGAGTGCCCAGGTGGCTGGGGTGCTCGTGGGTCCCCTGGCTCGGCCACTCTCATGTCACCACCACCCCCAAGAGCAGCACATCTCAGGGGCCACACCCCAACACAGGGTGCGCTGGGAGTGATCCCAGGCGGAGGCAGCACCCACTGCAGAAAGACGAGCAGAGGCTCCTGCCCACGGGGAGCTGGGACGCGGGGTCACAGGAGTTCCCGTGAGGACAGACAGCAGCCGGAGCAGCCCAGGGGCCCTGCGTTGTTATTGCTCAGGGTGGAGGGGCTTTGCCCCAGGAGGGCCGAGCTGGTGTTCAGAGGCGGGCTCTACCCACCTCGTCCTCAGGGCGGGGCGGGCACAGTGGGGACGGACAGGGAGAGTCAGAGACAGGAGGGCAGCCCGCGTAGGCAGTGCTGTGTTGGTGCGTGTGTGCTCGCTCCTGGACACGTTCCTACGTGGAAGCGGAATGTAGACAGGCGTGTGCATCAGCACCTGCATGTGCATGGAGGGGACCCTGCACGGCTGAGTGAGGGGAGGCACCCTGGGCTGCAGCGTGGAGCGTGAGCAGGAAAGCAGGCACTGGCAGCACCCGGGGAAGGCCAGGGCTCAGAGGGACGGGCTGGCACCCACCCGCACCACCAGTCCACCAGTATGCACGAGGCAAGGGTCAGGGTGTGGGAGCAGCGGACCCAGGGAACCACGGGTGGCCTAGGGCCGCAGAGGCCCCTGGGTACCTAGTGCACACACAAGTGTTTGTGCCGATTACAGGACGAGCGACGCTCCCCGGGGCAGGTCTGCGATGCGCCTGGCTCCCTGGCTGTGTGTGCCGGGGCACGTATGCAGGAGGTCACGTGTCTTCACACGGGCGTACATGCTGCTCAGAGAGGTGCACGCCAGCCTCCGATGGCCACCGTGAGGAGCCCCGAGGCCCGAGCACCCTCTAGGCACTGAGATCCACCACGACGTGTCGGTACACCAGTGTCTGACCCTTGAAGCTGGGTGCCAGGAGCAGGTGGGCGTCCCCAGCAGGCATGTAGCAGAAGGCCCGAGGGGCCTGAACCGCCAGCTCCTGGAACCGCACAAACTTCTGCCGCCCCTCGTCCCACTGGTAGATCTGGGTGAAGGAGAAGTCACTGCCCAGCGCCAGGTAGCGGCGGCCACCCACGAGGAAGGGCTGCAGTGCTAGCGAGCCCCGCGAGGGCAGGGCCTGCACCTCGGAGAAGCGGGCGCCCTCCCAGCGCAGGATCTTGGAGTCTCCGATGTAGCGGCTGAGGCACAGGTAGCTGTCGCGGCCGGCGCGGAAGTGCCTCACAGCCTGGGCGTCAGGCACCTGGGTCACCTCGCCCTGGGGCACAAACTGCTTCTGGGTGCGACTCCACTGGTAGATGACGGGCGCCTGGGAGCTGCTGGACACGATGAGCCGCGGCTTGCCCTCGCCATCCACGAACTCCAGGTCGGTGTCGCGGTGCCAGGCATGCAGGGCCTGGTGGGAGTAGAAGCCGTTCTGGTGCCAGCGGTAGAGGCTGGTGGCACCGGCCTTGGAGCTGTCGGCCACGGCAAAGTACCAGTCGCCGTCGATGCGGAAGGCCTCCAGGTCGTTGGGCTTGCGCACGCGCTGGGGGTCGATGTCCTGCAGCTTGGTGAAGCGCGTGGTGTTGGGGTCCCAGTGGTAAATGTAAGAGCCGCCGAACAGCTGGGCCACCACCACGTACAGCTGGCCGTCCACCACCATCGGCTTGCAGTGCACGGCCGAGGGTGCTGCCGGGACAGGGGTAGGGAGCCAGTCAGGGTGCGCCTGGCAGCAGCAACTCCCAACCCCTTGTAGGAGATCAGACCCTTCAACCTTGGGCAGGGGCCAAGACACTGCTCTGATTCCCACTGCTGCTGGAGTCTACCCTGCCGCACCAGTACTCACCCAGCATCCGACGGCTAGGACGCAGCTTCGGTGTCACCCTTACTCTGCCCTTGCCCCGGGGTTGACAGAGCTGCCACAGCACAGAACAGGTGTCCCTAGATGTCCACTGGCTTTTGAATAATGTCGACCTCCACACCCCTCCGTGCGTGTCGTTGCTGTGCTACGTGTGACCGCGCTGAGAAGGACCCTGCCGCTCTGCCCATTTCACACAGGAAAGAGCTGAGGCTTGGGGACAGAATGCGACTTGCTCAAAGCTACCCGACTGCCAAGTGGACAGGCAGGGGATGGAAGGGGCAGGTGGGAAATGCCCCCCACAGGACAGGACACACAGACGTTTGGACAGTGGCACGTGAAGGCACGTTCTCCCAGGAGGCCTGCTTGTGAGAGGGCATTACAGAGCACGCCCACGTGCCCCTCTGCTCGAGCCGGGGCCGTTGACCCTTCTCACGCACAACGTGGATGAGGCCACTCCCTGCTCGCCTGTTCCGGGGTCCCGGCCACAGCCCCTCATCTCCACCTCACCGTCCTGCCTCAGTCTGTTTACCTCACCCCAAAGCCTCTTCTCCAGAGGGAAGCTTAAGAGAACCCCCATCTGAACTCCTTCTTTGAGCCTACCCAAATGTAACCCCACCCTCAACCCCAACCTCAATGTGGACTCCAGACGCCCATGCCCAGATGCTCTCGGGCACCGCGAACAGCCTGGCCACAATAGCTCCAACCCCCCAGGGAGCCCGCTCCTCCCCCCGTGTTCCCCATTTCAGCTTTGGGGCTCGGCACCACTCACTGCAGGAACCCAGGAGTCACCCCAGTTTTCCTCCTCCGCTCATGGCTCCTGAGTCAGCCTCCACATCCTGGCAACCCTCCCCGCTTCTATCTCCGGCAGAGTGCGAGCAAGACGGGTCTTATTTCTCCCCTAAAAGCCTGGGAGAGTCACCAGGGCGGCCGCTTGGGCCTGGAGCCTCCTCTGAGGGAAGGTTATGGGCGCTCCAAGCTCTTTGATAGATGCACGGCAGCTCAAATGTCTGATCCCTCTTGTGCCGCTTCAGTCCCGTCTTCATTTTCAGTGGGGGCGGCACCCTCCACAGGGTCTCGCACCCATGATCCCCTCCCCAGCCCTCCGGCTTGTTAGGGGTTTACACACATACACCTGGTGTGTTTCCAGGTCACTTGGGATCCCAACCCGCTATAGGCCATGTGGCTCCGGGAGCCGCCAATCAGTGTGCTGCCGCCTGTACCACCAGGCTCGGCCTTCCTCCACTGCTAGGTCTCCCACTCGGCCTCCAGCATGCCCACCCCCAGCAGAGGGCACGGCACCCAGCTGGGCTGCCCCCACTCTCGCCTGCCCCTGACTTTCCTCCAAGCGGGAAGCTCTGCTCAGACCCTGTTGGGACTGGTCCTTGTCACCTCTGGTCTCATCTGCCACTCCCACCTCACTCTGGCTGCACACACATGCACTCACATGTAACGCCATTACACACCCTTTGACATGGTCCGTGCCGTTCCCTCTGCCAGAACACCCTTCCCACTCTGTTCCCCCAAGCTAAGTCTCCTTCCGCCTCAGGACCCGCTGATACTCAGTAGGCCCGGACCGAGCTCCATGCCCTCCTCTCCTCCTTACTCCCTGGCCTGCCCCATGGCTTCAGCCAGGACTCTGGGCATCGCCTCTGATTCCTCCCTCTCCCTTATCCTTCTTCACCCAGCTGGGGAATCCCTTCCACCAGGAAGCCTTCCTCGGTTGCCCAGAGGAGGCGTCTCCTTTGTGCTCCAGACCATGGAGACCCTATCTCCCTCCTGGCCCATGGACATGGCCTCTGTGGGGGATGACTACCCCAAAGACCAGAATGTTCTTATGGGCAGAGACCACAATCACTTCCTCCTCTACCCACAGTGGACAACGGCACCCGCTCCCCTAGTCCCCGGCCCCCAGCCAGAGCCAGCCAGGCCGGGCGGGTACCTGGAATCCTGTCGTAGTCTCGGAGCTGCCGTTCAACGTAGTCCCACTTGAGGATGGTGCAGGCGCTGGCACCCGGCTGGGCCAGAGCCAGGTACAGGTCACTGGAGTAAAGGAACGGCTCAGCCGACACTGCCGGGAAGGACAGGGTCTGGTACAGCACGAAGTCTGCAGGGGAGAGGCGAGACGGGCCGGAGGAGGTAAGAGCCAGCGGGCGGCTGTGACCGGCTGCCAGGGCTGGGCGCTGTGGGCAGGGTGGGGTCCAGGCAGCGGCCGGGCACCTCCTACCAGTGGTGATGCAGTCGAACTCCCGCAGCGGCAGGTCCTGCACTTTGTGGTCCTGGAAGCGCGGTGGGCTGGCGCAGTACGTGGGCGCCACCGTGGTGTTGGTGCGTGCCAGCCACGCCACCAGCCACTTGACCTTGCAGTCGCAGTTGAGGGCGTTGCCCCGCAGGTCCCTGGGTCGGGAGGGTTGGGGGGGCACAGAGAGGCACCGGCTTGCAGCTGCTTTGCCCACCCAGCTCTCTGGGTGGATCTCATCAAGGCTGCTACGAGTTCTCCCGCGGGTCTTTGTACCAGCTAGAGCAAGGGCCCACTACAGGTGGGGCGGCCCACGGACACAGGCTCGACCAGAGCTGCCGGCTGAGTGCCGGCCCCTGTGAAGCTCCTTGGCCGGGTGTGTGTGTTTTAAAGAATTATTTAACTTTATTTTATTTATTTAAATTTGACCAGAGAGGGACAAAGTGAGAAAGAGAAAGCGAGAAAGCAAGTCACCAGGTCCAGGACTCAAACCGTGCTCGGCCATGGGGGAGTCTAGAGCCCTTAACCACCACGCCACCTGCTGGTCCTGGCCAGATATGTCTTGCTTTGTTAGAGATTTTTGCTATAGGGCACGTGCCCTTGGCAGAGAGACAGAGAGACAGAAAGTGAGAAATCACCCCCAGGGGAGATGGCCACGCCTCAATCCCTTCTCCTCCATTCTCCTCTCGGAATTTTGGGGACGCACACACACATGCCCATTGTGTGTTTTGAGCCACGTGGTCTGAGACTCGAACCACAGTCAGCCACGTGGGAGTCCAGCACCTTAACCACTCTGCCACTGCTGGCCCTGCTCAAGTGCTTTTTGCAGTGTCCAACCTATACAGCTATGTGTCACATCCCTGTTCCTCTGCGCCTCCCCCAGCCGGGGCCTGGCTTCCGCGTGTAAATGATGATCACAACTGTGGCCTGTGTAGATCTGCATGGCACATGCGTCTAAGACACACGTGTTTTCAGAACATACACATGCAGGTCTCGTGTGCATTCTGAGAGGCCCCATGGATGCCTGGGGGGACCTCAGCTTGGAGGCTACCATCTATATCGAACTAAACCTCGCCTTCTCAGAGGCCCCGGGAACCCCAGACCTCCCAGCCTTAGGATCCTCCGTTCCTGAGCCCCCACCTCTCCCTCTGGGGACCCGCCCTGTGCGGCACCACAAGAGGCAGGGCTCGGCCTTACAAGTCACTCAGGATGTCCAGGGGCCGAAAGATGTCTCTGGGCAGCGTCTGTAGGTTGTTGTTGGCCAGCGAGCTGCAAGAGAAACCGGGTTACCTGCTGGTCCCTGAGGCCCGAGGTGCAGGCGCCACAGGCTTTGGTCCAGGTCTGCACATGACAGTGTGTACTCACAGGTGAGTCAAGGACTTGAGTCCTCTGAAAGTGAACTTGGACAGGGCCCAGATGTCATTGTTCTCAATGAAGCTGGAGGAAGCGAGAACTCATCTCAGCTGCCACTCAGGGGCCCGGCCCCCAGCCGTGATTTCTCCACCCACCCTGGCCTATATCCCAGCCCTGGGACAGGGTCTCTCGCAGAGTCTAGTGACACTGAGCCCACAATGACAGGGCATCGGGCAGGCTGTGTAGGAAGGGGGTGGACTACACGACCCTCCACCAGGGCCCTGCAGCTGGAGGACTCGAAGGCTCTCCCCTCTCCCAGCCCTCGCATGCCGCTCCCCTCTCTCCCCCGGCTCTCCAGCCTGGGCTCCCTCCACCCTCCTGAACCCTCCCCTCCCACACACAGGTACTGCAGGTGCGACAGTCCTATGAAGGCGTTGTCTCCGATCAGGGTGAACTTGTTGGAGTTGAGTAACCTGGGGAGACAGGTGAAATCAGGGCTTCTGAGGGACTGCCCGCTGTCTGGCTCCCAGTCCAGTGCTGCTTCACCCCTGTGCCTCCCCTAGACCCGACTGCCCTGCTGCCACAGTCAGGGCCCCCTGCGGACAGTCCCAGAGCCACCTGGACAGCAAGACCAGGCAGAGGCTTCTCCCATCCTAGAAGCTCCAGGGTCTGATTGGCTGGATTGCTCCTGTGATTGGCTGGCAGGGCTCTGGCGGGCTGTGGGGCCTCTCCAAGGTGTCTCTTCTCCCTGTCTCCCTCCCCTCGCCCCAGCCCACTTGGTCCCTCAAGGACAGCTGCCCCACCAGGGTAGCGCCTTTTAGAATTCCAGGACCCCCACCACCCCTCCCTTTCAGCCCCCCTGCTCTCTTCAAACCATGACCCCTGAGGTCACCAGTCTCACAGATGCCACCCCCAGGGTCTCCACTCTAAAATAGCCTCAAGCTATTGTACCCACTTCCGGGAGAGCTGCATCCATTCCCAACGGCCCTTCTTGGCTTCTGCACGCACCCCAGTTCTCTGTCTTTGCCTCCACCCCCACTTCTCCTGGCTCCAGGCTGCTCCCCCTTTCGTGGCATGTCCTATTAGGGCCACAGTAAGGGACACCTGCACCTCATCTCCAAAGGCTGCCCCTGCCCAGTTTCTCTCTTCCCAGCCCAGGCTGTGTCCCCTCTGACTGTCCCTCCGCCCTTCCGCAGGGCCCTCCGTACAAGAACTGCAGCAGGGGCAGGTGGGAGAACGCTCCGTCCTGGATCTCAGAGAACGCAGCATTCACCAGGGTCCTGCAGGGGACACGTGAGTTAGTGCTCAGGCAGTCTGTGGGTGGTGCTGGGCAGCCAGAGGGGAACCACTAGCCCTGGCTCCCCAGCCCGGCTCCCCACTGCTTCTGCCTTTCCTTGTCTTGGCAAGTGCCCTGCCAGCCCCGCCTGTACCCTCCCCTCCTGCCTCTGCGCTCCGAGGCCCCAGGCTCGGCCTCCCTCTCTGCCAAGACAAGGTTCTGTTACCCGCACCGTCATCCTCATCTAGACGGCCGTGTGCCGGGCACTGCTGTGGGCTGGGCACCACACCTCACAGCCTCTCCATCTGCAGGCAAGGGAGGCCTGGGGCCAGTTGCACAAGTGAGCTGGCCCGGCTAGGGGCAGAGGGGCTGGCCCACAGGCACTCCCACCCTCCCCGTGCTGCCATCCTCCCCTCCCCCAGGAGCTATCCGCCCTCAGTGCAACATCACAGACTAAGGCCCACATGCTCCTGGAAACAGCCCCCGCCCCAGGTCTCCAGCCTCGCACACAGTAGGTCTCGTGGATGCTGGTGGTGGCAACAACCAGGTCTTGGCGGTGACTTCCCCATGACTGCCAAGCCTGCATGAGTGCAGAGCACCCTGCTGGCCGGAGCCAGGACTCTCCAGCCCTGAGGACCACCCCTCCACCCCAAGACCTGCTCTTGCCCACCCCCTCCCCAGCCCAGGCCAGAACTGGACACTCACAGGGAGATGACCTCTGAGGGCAGGTTCCTGGGCACTGCCTTCGAGTCCACGCAGAAGGCAGTGTCCCTGGTGCAGGAGCAGCTGGGTGGGCAGGGGGGTGTCTTGGGGGGTCTTTTGGCACTGACTTGAAGCATTAGGCAAAAGACGAGAGTGGCTAGTACCAGCAGCCCTGGCCTTCCCCTGGCCCGCAGCCCCGCC